GACTTTTCATTTGTCCCTATCTATCTCTACATCATCATAGGCTATCTTTTTTGTATAAAAGTTTGCTTGGCGAGCAGTGGCTTAGTGAATAAGGTGCCTGCCCTTCAACCAAGGGATCATGGGTTAGAGTCCTACTCGGGTCATGACGATGTTTCTTCATATAACACAAGTACTGGTTGATTCCATGAAGCAGACTTGGAAGTGATTAATATAGGTTGCAAGAACTTGTTTTGCAATCAAGCTTAAATAAATATGTTGAAACTAGAAGTTTGCTCTTATAATCCAGAGACATTGAACACTCTGCAGAGTACTTTTAAAGACAATGAGGATAGGGACAGTTTTTATTTATTTTTTTATGTCACGATCGTCTTTTGTTGTATTGAGAGCATGCTGCGCTGGTTGGTGTACCCCTCGTCATTTGTCAATTTTCATGTGAATATAATGAATTAATTTTTTTCCCTGTATGTCAAAGGACATATTCTGATATTTTTCTCTTGTAAAATTGTGCAAGTGAATAAAAAGATGTAAACAGTAGAACTGCAATCTACTAAATTTTGTAACTAACATGTATATATATTGTAGGCCTCAGTGAGATAGGTTTTTAATCAAAGACTTTTTTGCCCCTACATCCACATCATCATAGGCATTTTTTTTGTAAAAAAATTTTTGTTGGCGAGCAGTGGTTTAGTAAAAAGTGCCTGCCCTAAACCCAAAGGGGATCAGGGGTTAGAGCCCCACTGGGGTCATGACGATTTTTCTTCATAAAAAAAAAAGTACTTTTTTCCAGAAAGCAAAGTGATAAATTTAGGTTGCAAGAACTTGTTTGGCAATCAAGCTTAAATAAATATGTTTAAAATACAAGTTTGCTCAATATAACAAAAAACTTATTGCTATTATCATTACAACCAAAACTGGTTATTGGTACATAATCCAGAGACATTGACCACTCCAAGAGCACTTTCAAAGACAATGATTCTGGTGACATTTTCTTTTGTTTATTTTGCGACATCACAAAAGTCTTTTGTTGTATTTGAGCGCCGGTTTGCATACCCCCTTGTCATTTGTAATTTTTCACAGAACTCTTATTTGTAAACGTATCTAATTGATTTTTTTTTTCATTGTATGTAAAAGACCAATTCCAATATGTGTCTCTTGTAAAATCATGTACGCGAAAAAAAAGATTTAAACAGTAGAACTGCTATCTACTAAATTTTGTAACTAACATGTATATATATTGTAGCCCTCAGTGAGATAGGTTTTTAATCAAAGACTTTTCATTTGTCCCTATCTATCTCTACATCATCATAGGCAGTTCTGCATTTTTTTATATCAAGTTAACTCTAGTTTGAATATAACAAAGTTTATAATTTGCTGGCAGGTTATGTTTTGCTCAAGTGCTTTTTTCTCTCACATATTCATTCAGTGTTGCCCTTCACGTGATTTTTATGTAATTATTTATTATCAAATTTCCCAAAATCAAGAGACTTAAGCCTATTCCTAATTAAGAGAGAAAAACCACTGGCAGTGTCCCTAGATTATTTATCAGTATTTCTATAATTGAGTGACGTTATTTTCAAAGAAATATATATACAGTTGACTCTCGGTAACTCGAAATCCAAGGGACTGGGCATTTAACTTCGAGAGAAACGGAATTCGAGTAATGTGGAACTACCACCATTACATGTATATACATGTGCCTGATTGAATGTGCAAAGGAGTAGGTTTGTTATTGCTGTTAGCGGCAATGCTGCAATATTTAACCATTGAAATGACGGTAAATCACTTACAACTGCAAATTATAAATGAACAAAAATATATCATTCAAAATTTAATACATGTATATTAATAGTGAAACAGAAAACACACAATTACATTTGATTTAATTCATCATCGGACGAAAACGAAATTAGCAAAACTATCGTGAACCGGAAGTACAAATATGACAGATAATTAATTAAAACAAATGTCCTTTACGTTGATAACACACATCAATACCTAAGCTGTTATTTGACTAACACCCGTCAGACTGGCACGAGTCAACTTTCTTTAAGAAATGTAATTAAATTTTAATTTAGTTATCTAACTGTTAAAACCAATTAAGTCCTGAAACGGATTAAAGCCACTTTTACAACGTGTTAATAATACATGATGACCGGCAATTAAAAACTAGAGGATGCTTTTGTAAAAAAGCGCATGTCTCCCCCACTGCTGAGAATAACTGTGAATGGAAACAGGAATGGAAATGGAGATAAAAGAACAGTAGTATAAAAACCAGACAACTGATATATCACTGATATATTCAATAATAGTTAAATGTCCTCACTGATAAGAACTCTAGTTATCATCCGGAAATGAGAAAATGACCAATGGTCACTGTGACCTTAACCTTTGACCTACTGACCCATAAACAAGAGGGATCATCTGCTCAATAAGACCAATCATCCTATGAAGTTTGAGGGTTGTAGGTCTAAAGGAACTCTAGTTATCATCCGGAAAGGAGAAATTAACCAACGGTCCGCTGTGACCTTGACCTTTGACCTACTGACCATTAAAACAATAGGGATCATTTGATTAATAAGACCAATCATCCTATGAAGTTTGAGGGTTGTAGGTCAAAAGGAACTCTAGTTATCATCCGGAAATGAGAAATTGACCAACGGTCACTGTGACCTTGACCTTTGACCTACTGACCCCAAAAACAATAGGGATCATCTGCTCTGTAAGACCAATCATCCTATGAAGTTTGAGGGCTGTAGGTCAAAAGGAACTCTAGTTATCATCCGGAAACGAGAAATTGACCAACGGTCACTGTGACCTTGACCTTTGAACTACTGACCCCAAAAACAATAGGGATCATCTGCTCAATAAGACCAATCATCCTATGAAGTTTGAGGTCTGTAGTCTAAAGGAACTCTAGTTATCATCCGGAAACGAGAAATTGACCAACGGTCAGTGTGACCTTGACCTTTGACCTACTGACCCCAAAAACAATAGGGATCATCAGCTCTATAAGACCAATCATCCTATGAAGTTTGAGGCTGTAGGTCAAAAGGAACTCTAGTTATCATCCGGAAACGAGAAATTGACCAACGGTCACTGTGACTTGACCTTTGAACTACTGACCCCCAAAACAATAGGGATCATCTGCTCAATAAGACCATTCATCCTATGAAGTTGAGAGCTGTAGGTCAAAAGGAACTCTAGTTATCGTCCGGAAACGAAGAATGGACGGACGGACTGACACACTGACGGACTGACGGACGGACAGGGCAAAAACAATATGTCTCCCCCCAGTTTGAGGGTTGTAGGTCAAAAGGAACTCTAGTTATCATCCGGAAATGAGAAATTGACCAACGGTCACTGTGACCTTGACCTTTGACCTACTGACCCCAAAAACAATAGGGATCATCTGCTCAATAAGACCAATCATCCTATGAAGTTTGAGGTCTGTAGGTCTAAAGGAACTCTAGTTATCATCCGGAAACGAGAAATTGACCAACGGTCAGTGTGACCTTGACCTTTGACCTACTGACCCCAAAAACAATAGGGATCATCAGCTCTATAAGACCAATCATCCTATGAAGTTTGAGGGCTGTAGGTCAAAAGGAACTCTAGTTATCATCCGGAAACGAGAAATTGATCAACGGTCACTGTGACCTTGACCTTTGAACTACTGACCCCAAAAACAATAGGGATCATCTGCTCAATAAGACCATTCATCCTATGAAGTTTGAGAGCTGTAGGTCAAAAGGAACTCTAGTTATCGTCCGGAAACGAAGAATGGACGGACGGACTGACGGACGGACGGACTGACGGACGGACAGGGCAAAAACAATATGTCTCCCCCCGAGGTGGGGGAGACATAATTACTATGAAACGTGTAAATCATGAGTGACAACGTCTCACCTTGATGTTGCCGACCTTTGATCAGACGGTTGTTTTCACACTTCGACTTATTGAGATGTAAATATGTTGGACTTTAATTGAGGGACCAAATTTTTCTTCTCGACTAAACAGGAGTCTCGGTAAGTCAAAATTTGACCTAAGCGGAGTTAAAATACAAAGATAAAGAAGGAAATTTGACGGGACTTTAGAAATTATTCGACTAAGGCGGAATTTTGAGTAAAGCGATTTTGACTTATTGAGAGTCAACTGTATATCAATTGAACATTTACAAACCAGTGGCTTCAGACAAAAGTATTGCCCATGAAATCTCTGGTAAAACTGTACTGAACACATAGGAAAATAACTCACAATTTAAAGTTCTATGGACACAATCATGTGTAAAATCTTACTGATAAATAATAAATGAGCTGCGTCATGACGAAACCAACATGGTGCGTTTGCGACCAGCATGGATCCAGACCAGCCTGCGCATCCGCGCAGTCTGATCAGGATCCATGCTGTTCACTATTAGTTTCTCTACTTGTAATAGGGTTGGTAAGCGAACAGCATGGATCCTGATCAGACTACGCGGATGCGCAGGCTGGTCTGGCTCCATGCTGGTCGCAAACCCATTATGTTGGTTAAGGTTTTGTCACGACGTGGCTCAAATTCAAAATCTACCAAAAATTATGATAACATGATTAAGAGTCCCAGCTGCAACTTGCCAATTCCTTGTGTAATTTTTTTTTCTGTGTATAATATATAATTTCCTGCTCATGATTTTCTTTCATTTATATAGATGTTTATATATATATACATATATATATATATATATTGTAGGCCTCAGTGAGATAGGTTTTTAATCAAAGACTTTTCATTTGTCCCTATCTATCTCTACATCATCATCGGCCATTTTTTTTTTATATAAAGTTTACTCTAATTTCAAAATAAAACTTTTCGCAGGATTTTTTGTTTGTCACTTTTGTACTTAATCCTGGTGATATATTCTCACTTTAAAATTCATCATGTACAGAACATGATGAATTTTAAAATCCTTGAATGTACCACTAGGATTGTAGTACAAGTTTTCAACATTTCCAGCAAACAATTGTTACCTTTTGTTCTCGTATTTCTCCCATTTAGAGATGGCCTTTCCACTTCCACTAATTCTTCTTGACTGAAATCAGAAAAATGTATTCTTTTAAAAAGCCTACGTCACCAGGGATACTATCAAACCCTATTACCATGGAAACTATTAAATTCTTCTGCTATTAACACGCCAGTATTTTCGTTAAATTTTAATGGGCAAATGAAATACTTGTCCATTTTGTACATATATATATGAACCAGATGTAACATTAAATTTTACTTCAGATGCCATTTCATTAAAATCAAGACATAGGGGGTAAATCAAAAGTGATTAGTTTACTATTTGACAACACATCACTGACATGACATCAGTTATAACTTAAGTGCAAAATCTAAAATAAAAAGCTTAATCGACCATTTCATTAACAATTTTTCAAATGTCTTTAAAAAATTACTACAATGATCCAGAGTTCCCTTGATAACTTCTGATACTGCCAGAGCGTTCTTGAATAAAAAAATATTTTTTTTCCTTTCAAATATTACACTCACCTTTCCTTCTTCTAATTCTCTGACCCTCCTTTCTAGTTTGGCTCTATGCTCAAGACCCAGCTCAGCGTTTGTAGTCTCGCCCAAGGCATCTACTCTGATAGCTAGAGCAGTTTTAGCTGCCAACATTCTGGACATCTGTAAATACATTATCATATAATTTTAAAAAAAAATTTATTTTAATATATCCATACTGCTTTTTGCTATACATGTATATTAGTTGTTTATAATAAGATATTTTTTAACCTACTTTTCACTGTTTATCTATTGATCAGGACTTGCTCAACATTCCTGACCAATCAAATAACCAAGATCCAAGTTTCAACATTCCTGACCTTAAAATACCTAAGATCCAAGTTTGAGCTAAGAGAATTTCTTTCTATTTCCTTAGACCCTTGGCTATACCTTCAACACTTCTTGCAATATAATGGAATCTTTATGGGCCTAAGATGCCGGGTCAAAAGGTACAGGCCAGCAATCCCCCAACCCCATTCTGACTCGCTTTTTGAAGCAGACAGATAAATATCTTTTTAGGAAAGTACATTAACATCAGTCCTATCATTTTAAGCTTCATTATGTATCATATAAATAAAGGCTCTATGATATTATCATCATATATAATGTACTCTCCTTTCACAAAATCATCATGTCACATAATACATGTTAAACCCTCATACTATCGAACCACTTCTGCTTATTTATAAATTTTTCAAGTTTATAAGCTTAAAAGTTATTACTTACTTAATGAATATTTAAAGTGATCGGTTTATAACGGTCACATTCTCCCGTAACTATTTCAAATATTGACAAAAACAATAGAAACAAATCATTTGGATATTCTTATGAACAAAAACCAGAGTTATAAAAGATATAGTATGAACATAATAAAACAGCTTCTAGAACAGATCAACAGATTACCTGCTATGAAAATATATGCTGAATGGGATCATGTAACATATTGACCAACAATATCATTATTAGGGGTGTAACAATAATTATATGGCAAAAACTGTATTGCAATATACCGGTATACCGTTTCACCCTTAATCATTATATATAGTTTTTCTGTGATGTGTCATCAAGTTTGATACTAAATACTATCAACATCACAAACTTTCCATTATGCACCAATTCACTATAAGAATTTATTTTGGGTAAAGAAATTATAGAAACGTTTCTGGTTTGTGACTCCAAAAAGTTGTACATAAAAATTTCTACTTTTAAAATCTATGATGTGGGAAGACCTCAGGTGCCCCTTTGTGAAATATTCAGCCACCTACACTTGAACAGGCACCAGAGTATAACCACCGACGTTCTGTAAGCTAGCTAGATATCTGAAACTTCTTGTACCTGACCCTATAATCCAGTAAAATCTAACTTTAAACTGGTCAAATAAGTTGGGACATTTCAAATGGCATGGCAAAGACTTTCACCACTGAATCATTCTCACATCTCATACAGCCTATGTCTCACTAAGGCCGACTGATAAATGAGCCGCGTCATGACAAAACCAACATAATGGGTTTGCGACCAGCATGGATCAAGACCAGCCTATGCATCCGCGCAGTCTGATCAGGATTCATGCTGTTCGCTTACAAACCCTATAACAAGTAGAGAAACTGATAGCGAACAGCATGGATCCTGATCAGACTGCGCAGATGCACAGGCTGGTCTGGATCCATGCTGGTCACAAACCCATTATGTTGGTTTTGTCACGGCGTGGCTCAAATATCTTTTTAGAAAAGTACATTAACATCAGTCCTATCATTTAAGCTTCATTATGTATCATATAAATAAAGGCTCTATGATATCATCATCATATGTAATGTTCTCTCCTAAAGTTCACAAAATAATGTTTTCACATCCCAGGGGCTGCAAAATCAATATAGCCAGTATTGCCCAGGTTGTCCTACAGACGTACGGACAAATGGAAATTTTCAGGAATTTACTATATAGATATCATACAGACAAGGAAATGCTTCTGATAAAAATGGACAAGTTGGTCAAAATTAGATTTTGGCTGCCATGCATGATTCCCTCGAAATCTTTAACCAATCCTGCTGATTTCCACCCTTTCAATTTTTTCTTAGCTTAACAAGACAGTGCCATACAGTAAGAGAAATAATGGCTGGCTAAACGGCTGCTACATATGGAAGGGTACCAGAGCTGTACTATCTATGCAAATGTTTAAATCTTGTTTCTCTACGCTATCCCTCCCACACCCGTTCATGTTCCGATTTCTTCTATTCCTGGCTTGTCTATGCAATTTATTCTCATCCCTTGGCAGAATCGCTTTATATGCATTATGCCATAAAATTTCTATTCTATTCTTGTTTTAAAAATTGTCTGAATTTTCATGTAATTTAGACTTAATTTCAAGGCAGTTATAGGACAAAATTTCAAAATGAAGGCCCTGAACTTTGTTTCAAGGCAATATTAAAAGTTTTTTTAGTCTTAAATTTCAAAATGATTTTGAACTTTTCTGTTAAAAGCAATTTTGGACAAAAAATGTTCATGGGGGAATTTGGACTAGATAGAACTTCTTTAATAAATCAACCTTACATCAGTCCTATCATTTAAGCTTCATTATTTATCATATATTATAAGGCTCTATGATATTCTCATCATCTGTAAGGTATGATTTAGTCTAGTAAGATTTTTCTGACTTGAAATAAAAAATAATCTGGCCTGAAATAGAGACAAATACAGGCCTTTTTAAATTGAAACTAGAAATGTGTCCATAGGACACGGGTGCCCCCACCGCGCCACTGTTCAGTCAATCTTTTTACTAAGTCAAGGGAAATAACTCTACAAATACTGGATAAATCCACAAGCGAAACCCCAGGTGCAAATCTAAATATGCTGAGCAACCTGCCCATTAGGTTTAATGATTATGTCAAATCCTTTTTGAGTAGCATGCGACACAAGTTGAAAATTGCAAAAAATTTCTAAGTGAAGGGCAATAACTCTAAAAATACTAAATAAATCCAGACAAAAATACCTGGTGCACAACTGCACATGCTGATCAATATTCCTGTAAAGTTACATGACTCTAGGTCAAATACTATTTGAGTTACATGCGACACAATTTGAAAATTGCAAAATTTTACTAAGTCAAGGGCAATAACTCTGAAAATACTAAAAATATCCAGAAGAAAATACCCAGGTGCACAACTACACATAATGATCAACATTCCTGTAAAGTTTCATGACTCTAGGTCAAATACTTTTTGAGTTACATGCGACACAAGTTGAAAATTGCAAAATTTTACTAAGTCAAGGGCAATAACTCTGAAAATACTAAAAATATCCAGACGAAAATACCCAGGTGCACAACTACACATGCTGATCAACATTCCTGTAAAGTTTCATGACTCTAGGTCAAATACTTTTTGAGTTACATGCGACACAAGTTGAAAATTGCAAAAGTTTACTAAGTCAAGGGCAATAACTCTGAAAATACTAAAAATATCCAGACGAAAATACCCAGGTGCACAACTACACATGCTGATCAACATTCCTGTAAAGTTTCATGACTCTAGGTCAAATACTTTTTGAGTTACGTGCGACACAAAAGTGAACGGACGGACGGACGGACAGACGGACGGACGGAAGGACGGACGGACGGACGGACAAGGGTAAATCTAAATGCCCGCCACTATCGTGGGGGCACAAAAAATAATAATAATTGATAATTCCCAATATTATCTTGGAAAAGTTATCCAAAACCCCAATCAGCTCCATTTAAAGATATCAATGTCAAAGCAGATAATCAGGTTAAAATATTAAAATTTAATATCACTCCTGCCCACAAAGATATTACTTTTTCCAAAAGTCTTGTGGTGAGCCTTCATATGAAGTTCAGTAAAATACAGCAAGTCATACATATTCTTAAATGTAGAAGGCTTACCTTGCCCTTAATTTTAGCGTTTGCCTGACCAACCAATGAGGCATGATAGATAAGACCATATTTGGGCGTGTCATGCTTGGTTTTCAAGGCTCGGAAAAGTGCCTTCTCTGCTCCCAATATCTGTACGGTACTCGCTGGATGTTTAGCTAAATTCATTAATGAACCTGTGAAAAAAAAGTTTAATTTTTTATACAAATACGAATTTTTTGGTCTGGTTTTTTTTTTAAAAATATGTTTAAATAAAACAATTTTAATCAACAGTCAGCCATTTTCCTAGACAGTTTATAACCAGCTATTACAAAACTCTTCGTTTTAACAATGATTTCAATGCATTTTTGTCATATTCAAGTGACCACTAGACTTGATGTCCGGATATCAATTGTCATGAAGAAAAATTTCACACTTTACTAGAGGATCAAACCTGTAAGCCCAGGCTTTCTGTGGGAGAAAGTACATCTTGTATCAGTCCTATCATTTCAGTGTCACGGTTATCTCATAAAACATAGGCTCTGATAGTTCATCATGTACAAATGTTCTAACAGCAAAATCAAACTTCAACCAATCATTAAGGCAATTGCTCAGCCAAAGATGGAAAAGTCAACTACTTTACTGTTTACAATTCAAACATAATATTCCTTATCATATAAACACCCAGTTAAAACATGTAAAAATCTTTACCTGCATGTGATATTAATCTAGCACCCACTAATTCTCCAACAAGTACTGTAAGGTTTGGAGCAATAGCTACCATTCTGTTCTTTATATAGTCATATAACTGTGCTCTATATTCTGTTATATCTATCACCTGCAATGAGAAACAGTTACACAACATCATTTCATTATCCTAGCAACAAAATTTAACAATTGGGAATGTATATCCAGGTTTTGTTTTTTTTCAATTAGTATCATTTTTTTTTGTTGTTGCCACAATGGAAATGTAACTCCAAGTTTTTAATCATAATGTTTTTTTTTACTGCTCCTACCAACTGTATTTTAACGAACTTTCACTGAATATTTAAAAGTTATCGCCATTTATTCTCAATTCAATGAACTTGTTCAGTTACTTCATATTCAAGTTATGACAGAACTTTCAATCTTGAATAAACATGTGAAATATAATGCATAAATGTTTCAAAGATTTTATAACTTGTTATTCGGACTTATTACTTTGTAATTTTCAAATGGGAATTTTTTCCTGTGGATTGGGAAAATAATATACTATTGTCAATTGGGAAAATGACCGAATATTGGCTATAAAATAAGCCAAAAAAATCTCTGTACTATCAACATAATTTCTCTCTATTTTCAATTGTTTTTACCTGTTCACAGAGGTATCTAACATTAATAATATCTTCATCAGAGATTTCGGTTCCCATGGAGATTTCAGCTGCATCTTTAACTTCTTTTTCCACTTCTTCGGGTAAAATCTTAGAAAAATCTGTGTTTACTGCATTTGTTCGGAATCCTGGAACACACAAGTGAAAAAGTTGTTAAATGAAATTTGTAAATTTTTTATCAGAGAGAGGCCAAACTAGGATTAAATTTGAGCCATGTCATGACAAAACCAACATAATGGGATTGCGAACAGCATGGATCCTGATCAGACTGCACGGATGCGCAGGCTGGTCTGGATCCATGCTGGTCGCAAACCCATTATGTTGGTTTTGTCGTGACACAGCTCATTACATTGCAGTCACCTCAGAGGTAGTGACGAAATTACAACTTTCAACATAGTTAAATTCTGTTCAACAGTAAATATACATCATCGGTGACAAACTGCAGAAATACATTTTCATCTTGTTACAAAATCTGCTAAAAAACAATCGAGCTGGTAAATTACAAAAAACTTTCCATACACATTCCAGTAGTGAATATTTGCAATTTTCAAAACAACCTGTGGCTTTCTAAAGGGTAAAAATAAGCATGATAAATCATAAAAGGTAGAAACCCTGAAATCAAATTTCAACAACTGCGAATGAAATTTACCCACATTTTATAAATTTTTTAATTTCACTTCAATTTAAAATGCATTATACATAGGGACAGTGTTCTGTTTTTCAGTCAATTGATTAATCAACTATCCTATATAAATCAGCTGCTGTTAACACCTGACCTAGTTCTGGTGAAAAAATGTGCACATGGCATTTTAGGGGAATATATACAGCATTTTTAGGTGGAAAATATACCTATTTTGGGCTAGGGGAAACAGCTTTTCTCCGACTATAAAATACACGGGGGAAAAAATCACTGTGTTCAGTCACCTCAGAGGTAGTGACGAATGTAATACCTTTCAGCAGTATCGTAATTCTGTTTTAATAGTAAATATACATCACTGGTGACTAAATGAACTTTTTAATCTAACACGGTCTTTTCTACAAGAAAAATACTGCAGGGTTCATACAAGTTCTAACATTTAATCAAACAAAATTATTTTTTCTTATTATTTGTTTGATGCTGAAATTCAGAAAAAAAGTTTTCATTTAAAAAATTTTTAAGTTCAACGTTACAGTTATTTCTTAATGCAGACAAATTGTTGCTAAATAAAGTGTTTTACTGTAACTCTCTCTACTATAAAATGATACGAGATGAAATCTCCCATGAATTTTAAATCCTAAAATAGGCACTTGACTAAAAACCAAATATCATCAAAGGCAAAATCATCAAAGGAGAAAGAGGGATTTCGGACTTCATGGAATTATTTGAATGAATCAACCTTACATCAGTCCTATCATTTAAGCTTCATTATTTATCATATATTATAAGGCTCTATGATACTATCATCATCTGTAAGGTGTGATTTAGTCCAGTAAGATTTTTTTTGGAGTGAAATAGGGCTCCAAATACAGGCCTTTTTGAGCTGAGAAACAGTTGATAATTCCCCAATATTATCTTGAATATTCATCCAAAACGGAAAGGATTTCCCAAAAGTTAATTTTTTTAAAGATATTAATGACTAAAACAGGTAACCAGGTTGTAATACCAATATTTCAGAAAGCCTACTTTCTTTAATACCATTTAGAAACAAAGCTGAAATGAAGACTTACCCATTAATTTGACAACTTTAGCGAAAGCAAGATTATCTTGTACAATTTTCCCCAACTCTGGAAAATGCCACCCATACCATTCTCTTGCTCTCATAACATAGTTGTTTAATTCTTTATCTAAATCATCGAGTAATGCTGAAAAAAGTAACAAAATAATGAAACATCAGTAAAATATTCGTACACTATTAAAAGTGCATTTTTTTTCTTAAATGAACCACTTTTCCTGGATAACTAACCAGTAACTTACCAGTTTCTCCTCAAGTGACAGACTACAAATTCCATGCGATATCAGAATAAGCTATGTGATACAAACAACAAAGACTCAATGTCTGAAATCAATTGTCGCAGAAATTTCACACCAGGATACCTTGCCTGGATTACTCAACTAAGAGGGAGAAAAAAATGTACCATATAAAAGTACTTACAGATAGCCTGTACAATCATGGTATCTACTTTATCTGGACTGAACTTGAGCTTGTAGCGTGATAAACTGAAAAATAAAAATATGTTAGAATAATAATTTCTATCTTTTACTATGTATACTCGCCAACCAAATTCAAATTTGCAAAATTAAAGTCATATTTAAGATGTTTGTTTTGCTTCGATAATTTTTACAGTGTACCAACACAATTAAGGTCATATGGCGCTGAATCAGTGAAGATGATTTTGGCTATCCCCAGGTGTTACAAACTTAAAGCAACATCAGGGATCAAAACCACTTTACTTGCTGAAACTAAGATGCATAGACTCGAGTAATTCTAATCCATTTAGTCGCTTCTTACAAAAGTGAAGAAAACATGTACTTTGTAGAATATTAAACCTATCATTAGCCTGGAACTGAACAGCAATGGTGTAATGAGGAAATATGGGAAGTTCACTTATCAAGGCTCAAACATGGACAGACTCCAGTTACCTGCCACATATCCATTTTATACAAAAATCTTGCTTCAGCCCTATCATTTAATATCATTAGTTCTCATTTTAAATAAGGCTCTAGATAGTGTCATCATTAGCAAGATATTTCAGTTTTTCTTCCACAATACTAACATTATAAATGTCTGTCTACCATATTTAAACCTAGCAATCTTCAAACAAACATATGCAGGATATTCACAGATCTAGTAATACATGTTCCCCATTTCTGGATTTTATTATAGCATTGTTCACCTAAAGATAAGGTTATATTGTGATTTTCTAGAATGATGGATAACGAAGACCCCTATTGCCTCTTTGTGCATAAATTAAGGCATCCAGACAATTGGTTTGGTTATAAGTCACACAAACACAATACGTCATATCGCGACTTACCAGCTTCACTGCTGTAGGAAGACCTCAGGTTCCCTTCAATGCATTATTTCAGACACAAGAATAGAACCTGACATAGCTTGATAGCCTCCTCATATGAAAGAATCCAAAGTTCCTGTTGGGATTAAAACCCACAGCGGTGAGAGGGCAAGTGGTTTAAGTCAACAACCTTAACCACTTGCCCACAGACACCCCTAAAATCAGTTGATATGAATAAATATGAAACATTTACCTATGTGCCAGACCTAATGCCATGGCGGACATTTCTTTTGTTGGTAATGTAATGAGACTGTCCATTTGTGTACGGATCCCTTTCATTAACTCTTGTATGGCTGAATTTGCTACACAACTGATGTTGAACTTTTCCTAAAAACATAGAACTCGATTGTCAAAACACAACTTGATGTGCACGATTATCTTCATCCATTTGCTAAAAGAAAAGCAAATTATTTTTTCTATAATAGACCCCCGAGGGTCACCAGACATGGTTATATGAAAGTTTAGACCTTTTCGAAAGCAACTGTTAAAACTCTGTGTCAACCATTTTCAAGCACCTGGGTAGCACTACAACTGTGCTGGCAACCAAGCCTAATGATTAATATTCTCTCAGGTAAAGTTACACAATTAGATCTGCTAGCCCTACACATAGCATTATCTTCAAAGTTATCATTACACTATTGTACCTAGGATCATTGGCTCCTGTATCTAAAATGCAGACAGAGAACACCTAAAACTGAAGACAAAGAATTAAAACAACAAAAGCCTCACCTTTCTGTATATCAAAACCACTCAAGTCACACTCTCATAAAAAGTTTAGGCAGAACAAAAAATGTTCTGACCACTTCATTTCAAATTAAAATTTTAACATTTTAAATCACCGAGCATGATCGAGTGATAAAGGGACTTTGTCACACCTTAATGGCGTTGCCCAGTTTAGCATCCGCTACTGCCAACTCATCCTGTATGTCTGAGGCTACCAGTTTCTTCATCACAGACTTCAGCGATTTACTCATTTTCCCTTCAACAGTTGCTGTGGCAGCTGAAATTTTAATTGCAAAAAAAATAATTTCTTCATACATTTATAAAGATGGAAAAGCCTTTACCTTTCAATATTTCTCAATCAAGAATTTTTACAGTTTAAAACCAATATAAATCTACAAGTATCTTACTCCAGTATTATGGTATTTTATTTCTACTAAATTGCATTATATTTATAATTTCTTTCTTTTTTGTTCTTCTTTTCTATCTCCTTTTCCTGCAATATCAAAATATCATGTTGCATCTAGGATTTCAAAATTATAGGGGATTGCCCCCCAACTCAACAGGAAAATGTGGAGCACATGCATTTACCGAACAATATGACGTACTGAAAAGAATTAATTTATTTTACGTTTAGGCATTTTTGACAGCTATCGTCCGCTCAACAACAAAAACAAAGTAAAAACAAACATGGCAGAAGTGTTCAAGATACAATGAAGATTATCTGAATTAAGTTTAAAGATTTGTAACCAGTTCGTGTTTTTGATCTTTTCGTTTATTTTAAACTTTTCACATTTTAGTTTTACAGAGTTGTCTATAATCTCCCTTTCATTGTAAATTTGAGTGATTAGTCAAGCATTTGAATTCCCGCTGTTTTTGAACCAATTATTGTGGTCATGTGATATAGTGTTCACTCTTGCACAAGTCTTGGTACTGAGAAGTCAAATGTGAACTAGCTTTGCTGAACTTTATATTAATTTTATTATAACTATTTTGGTGTTTCTTGGAAATTGAAGGTTGAGGTTGGTTGGTCTTATTTATTACTATTGATTCATCTTTTTTGAGTCACAAATGAGCAATGCTTTATTTGTATTAATTTAGTATTTGTGTAAACATGTATATTGGACATGTACATTGTAATCAAGATGGCAGCTTATATTTCTAATAATTTGGTAATTGGTACATCACTATTTACTATCTTGTATTACCACTTATCATTTAACCATTTACAGTTAATAGAGCACAGTAAGAGTCAGTGAGGAGAGAAACAGAGGTGTATTACCTATACAGTATATGAAACCTGATCCACAATTGGTATGTAAATATATGTATTCTTTGTTTAATTTCATTTTAGGTTTAATTATTTTAAGTAAGGACTAAAGATATTTCTAGGCTGGCTGACTTGACCACAGTGTGAATTTATAACGTAATATAACCGTAATTAATATATTAAACTCCTATATCATGTATACATCAATAAATGTATTATACTTTTGGTTATTTAGTAATATGTTGTATTTGTTAATTTACAGGGTTTGAAATATATATATAGTATACTCGACCACAGCCTTTTGTTGTATTGGACCCTTATACTGACTGCTGGCTGGGGCCAGTGTGGTTGGCCATTACTTTGATGTACGTATATGGGCTGGAGCCCACCTGGTCACAGATTGTCAGATGCGGGACTGCGCATATTAACGTCATTAAAATGAGCAAGGGAGAAAATAAGCACAAATGGCACGGCCTAGATGCAACACTGGAAAATGTAAATAGAAATTTATATCACCAGTTTAACATGTAAGATAACATACCTGCTAAAGCTTCTGTTGTGTCTTTAAACTTCTTAAAACTCTTAAGCTTCACCCTAAAAATGGAACAAGTTTAGAACTTTTGTTATTTAATTTAGTTTAAATAAATCTTGGAAATTATGTAATGGGACAAGCATATGCAGAGGTTTTATTCCACAAATTTTTCGGCGAAATTCAGCCCCATTCCCTCCTCAAAATATAATGTTTTTTCCCCTCGAAGCAAAAATTTCCCCTATTTGGGAGCCAAAATTTGCCTGTAATGAATGTAATTTTTTTTGCAATTAACTGCCGAAAATGTTTTATTTTATGCCTGTAACCTTACTTTTCAGCAAAGTTGTTTACAAATCGTTCTCGGGTAGGTAAGTGAAGCTACACTTGGCGTCCCAACAAGTTTAACATACAACGAGTCAATATTTTAGATCTGTCTATCAAGAAAAAACGACTTATTTGCCAAGAAATGCTCCGCTTTTCTACTGGAAGGAAAACAATATAAATTAAATAAATAAAATTCCCCTTTCTATTGCATTTTTCTCCCTCCAAAGGGCACCGTCCCCCTTCCCCTAAAAGTGAAAAAAAAACACTGATAAGGTATCCTTCCAAACTTACTAAGTCTTAGCCATTTTGTCATGTAGATGTGAAACAGTAATTTTTCCAAACTAAATCTGGGCTTCCATTTAAGCTTGCGTACTGGCAAAATACCATTTTACACTGAGGCATTAAACACAAGATAAGTTAAAAGAAAAAAACAGCAACTTAGAAATTTAGATTCTTACACTTCACTGGCTGCTTCTGGTGATTCAAAGTCCAAATACAAGTTCTCAACATTCTGTAGTTTCTTCTCATTCATCAACTGTGAATTATAAATCAACAAAGAATTATATGGTGTACCTCATAACTATAAATGCATTTTTTTTTCAATAAACATCCTACCCACGTGTCCCTGAAAAATTAGGGATAGTCATGGAAGCACGTGGTATTAAGATTTCCATCATTTAATTTTAAAATGCGGCGATAAAACCACAAAAACATAAGGTAATTAGTTAAAGCAGAAAAATACCATTTGAAATACCAAGTTGATCACCACTGTCATACCTTAAATACTGCATAACCAGCTGCTGTTTCGAAGAGCACCAACATTTTGTTTTTCTTCTTGCTCCACGAGGTTTAACAATGTTAGTACGCATGCGCGTAGACAACTGGTAATTATACTAAATGTCGTATTTTGCCGTCCCTTTTCCGTATGTGGACAGAGTAGACGTTAAGTACTGTTGTACGTTCATACGAATTCTATTTGAAATTTAGTCTTAAAATTTTGTGTTTAAAATCCCCTTCAAATGTATTTGATACTTTGAATTGTTTTATCTGGCAATCAATAAGAGATCAGTATAGATATGTGTTTAGGAAATTTCAGGTCTTAATGATCACAGATTTATATAAATCCGTGGTGGAATTTACATGTAGCAGTAGCAGAGACTGTACGGCTACATGTAGCTCTGTGGAAGTACAAAACCAATTGTAACTTCAAAGATGTACAAGCAAATCGTATAATGTGTGAAGGCTACTTTTTCTTGAATTCGTAAAACTTAATACTAAATTTACTGGATAGGACCCGTTCCATTTAGTAAACCTCGCACGATGACAGGTGAAAGATTTCCAAATTATGAGCTGTTAATGTTAATGTTTAATGAAAGGAGTTCCAGAACAATTAGGGCTAAAATGTAAACAAAGTAGTACTCAACATGGAGTTAAAGGGATATTGAAAAACTGTTCTTTTTTTCCTTTCAGAAAATGAATATAGACCTTACAGTTTTGAAAAAAGGAGGACTCATGAGGAAAAATAATCCTTCATTTTCAGACCAAAATACAGAACAGGTTTTAGGGTGCTCAGTTTCATTGTAAGGTCTCAACAGACGGTAGGATTTAGTTGTACAACACTAATTAGAGATAAGATGTACAATTTTCAAAGCAATAAAACACTTGCATTCAGGCGGTATTCTGCATTGTAAAAATCATCTTACATACTCACTGATTTTTTTTTCTCCATGAGAAATGATTGAATCACCTCTTTTTTTCATTTTTTTTTTCAATTTTATTTTTTTAAATGTGCAGCCTGACCGAGACTCACACCTGGGACCCTCGGAATACCGTACTGCGACTCTACTGACTGAGCTATCCGGCCGCTGATTTATAGAGAACAGATCAATACCGTGACATAATCATTTTCGGAATAATTTGGGATACCACTACTTTGGGTGTCCTGAATAATTTTTCCACATCATTTTTACCCCATCTTACTACTATGTTTACTTTTTAGCCCTAATTGTTCTGGAATTTCATTCATTACACCCATTATCAGGAGATAATTTGGCAATCTGTTACTTGTCATCAAAATAGAACATGTCCTATCCCTTACATCTAGACTTAAGGTTTCCAAAATCAAGAAATAGTAGCCTTCACACATTAAGATTTGTCTGTACATCTTAGTTTTAAGTGGTGTTGTACTTCAAAATCCTACCGTCTGTTGAGGCCTTTACATCTAGTATTAAGGTTTACGAATTCAAGAAATAGTAGCCTTGACATGTACTTGGTATTGTACTTCAAAATCCTACCGTCTGAGGCCTTAAATTCTATCCATTCCAGGACATGGGTTGTTTCAGAGGTAGACCAAAAGGTTCGTTGTTTCAGAGGTAGACCAAAAGGTTCGACCGTGGGTAGCACAGATGTAGCATTTAGGAAATAACCCTTTAATTTAATCCCAACAATTATCGCATTTATACCTACAATGTATTTCACTATTTATAGTGTGGAAATTCTACTAGGGGTCTATTTGGAGGGAAGTGTTTTGGAAGGAAACCTGATGATTAATTAAGTGTTGTATTGTTTACTGTTGTACAACTAAATCCTACCGTCTATTGAATTCTATCATAATCAATGCTCTACATGGAGAAACTTTATTTAGTCACATTAAAATGTATCATGTTCACTATTCTTTTTTTCTCTTTATTATTTTTATCATTTATTTATTCATTCATATCCCTTAGTTAAACATGTGTTAGTTAGCAAAAACTAAAGGTAAACAAATCTTGATAATCATTACACAATAATTGTAATGGTTATCTCCCTTAGATCTGTTGTAAATGCATTAATTTTCGATACGTGGTATTATGTTAAAAATGCTACATAATAAAAGTATATGTCTAGCATATGTTTGACTGATAATTATAAATATTTATTCAAGTGCATATAATAATGATATAATTACTATTGATTTGTTGATTTTTCTTTGCATATAAAAGTCTAAAGAAAATTAATTGCTTGTATTTTTTGATGACTATAATATTTTTTTTTACCTTTTTTTTGCAAACAGACGCATTTACTTGTTATGAAAAAAAAATGAAATTCTACATTCAATGCCACTTTGACCGCACACATGTTAACAGGCGTTGCTTATCAGTATACAATAACTGTAAAACAATACAGTTTATCTGTTCTGCTAACAAACTTATTACAGGTACAACACACATTAATTGCCACTAATTGGCGGCCTCGTTTCATCTTGCCAAGTATTCCTTTGATCTCGCCGCGTCTTCCAAATTATTTTCTTTGAGGATTAAGGTTGTTTTGATTTTCTTCTAGAAAATTGGAAGCTAGATAGGTTTAGTCTGTCACTCGAGCTTTTAGATGTTTTGATTTTTGAGCACTTTAGAATATAATGTTAAACCTTTTACTTATCTTTGTTTTTCTTATATGTTTAATCACACTCTATCAAAACAGCGTTCCTAAAGAAAGAAAAGATGAAAGTCAGGAGCATTTCAGTACAGAAACGGAACATAACAAAATAAAACAGAATAGAACAAAATAGAACATTATTTGGAGCAGGGTCTTTCAAATTCTATTTGACATACCCTGTTTGCAATTATTGTATGCTCAGAAATGAGGGAAAAAATAAAAGTACACGTGCACATACATACCTAGGGATGATATGATATAAGTAGTCAATAAATGTATAAAATATTAACAATCTAATGTTTAATAAAATATGGTTTAAACATTATAATGCAAAATGTATCTGTCAGCATGGGTTTCTATGAAATTTCTGTGTTTAGTCAACTTTTTGTGCATTAAGCAAATTAAAAGAGTGCAGAAAAAAAGTCAACCTCCGGCGGGACTCGAACCCGCAATCCCCGGCTTAGGAGGCCGGTGCCTTATCCATTGGGCCACGGAGGCGGTTATATTCGTCGTCACAAATATACTATATAAATTTTCTATTTTTAGAATTTGGCGCCATAAGAACGGCAACTCTTGAATGATTTAATTTGAATGCGGGTGAAGAGTAATCTTCCCATTTTTCTAATCGAGTTCAAAATATGTTAAAGTTTTAACGGCAGTGGTACTTGTTGCATTATCTTCTTCATCTTCATTATAGACAATGCTGAAAGATATATATTTTACCAAAACATATTATTTATTCAATATCAGTGAGAATTTAAATGATTTTTTTTCTATATTTAAAGCAAATACATTTATTAAACATAAATAAGCATTATATTATATGTATTTAAATGAAATGATGAATATGTGTGTTAAATCAGTGACTTTATCATAAAAATTACCTATCAATGAGCATTTTCTTTGGTGAAAGAATTTTTCTTCTAAGTGGCCTTCTTAATTGGAGTTGTTTGTTCAACTCAATTAATCACTGGTGGAATAGAACCATTTTTAAGTGGAGTCCAGTTGTAATCCTCAGTGAAAAATGTTTGGAACACACCACAGTAGATGCAGTGACCCTAAAATATACAATATATATTTATAATAAGGAATGATATGGTAACTATAATAGTCAGCTTCAATCCTCTATTTGTGTCATATATTTGAACAGACAATAATTTACAATTTACAAGTTTCAATTGTTATAACTGTTAGATTAAAAGCAAGCAGTTCTCCCATTATTTTATTCTAAATTTACAAAATCTGTATTTTTACAAAAATATTATTCTGTTCATATAATGGTCAAAGTTTACAAAATATTATTTTTAGGTGCTTACCTTTTAACAATAACCCTTTATCCCTCCTTATCTTAGAAAGTTAGTCATCCATAATTTGTTGTGTGTTTTTTTAATCTTTATCCTTTGGAATATGGTAAATTATATTTACCATCAGAATAGCACATTGGCACACAAAAATGATAATAAGAACTTTTCTTTATTACACCCAACATCGTGGCTATATAGTGAGATAAGAGTGGTCAGTGTGTTTACATTCGTGCCATTTAAACCTCGTTCTGGTTCTGGAATTCCAGGTATGCATATAATTTGAGAAGGGTCTATGCCGGGCAAAAAACGCTAATAACGTTATGTATGGGTAAGAGTTCGTATTAAGACGACCGTAGGGAGTCTTATCGAACTCTTACCCATATAACTGCAAATCGGCTCTTACAACTCGATATCAGATAAAAATATAGAAAGTGTCACCTCTTTAATTAAGCATAACATTATTTTTCCCCAGCAGTCACGTACAAACAAGGATGGGGTCCAATTACTTAATCTGGCATGTAAAACAATGAGTTTTCAACAATATCTAGGTTTGTTAATGCAATTCATTCCTGTCATATGAAACAAAATAATGTTTTGCTTACTTTTTCTAGAAAATATAAAACAGTCAGCAATTAATAATTGACATTTTTCATAGAGTTTAAAGGATATCAAAATGTATACTGTGTTCACATTTGTCTCTGCGAGCTGAGCTCCACGTGCATTATCTACGTAATAAATTTGAATGTATCCTCACATTGCTACAGTGTTATCAGCCTTTTTAGAAACACCTGACCAGCTAATTAAAATACGCCAATCACAATTTTCAATATCAGCACAGGTTTCTTCATGAAATAGCGGCTACACTAATTACTGCCGAGTAAGAGCCGTTTGCAGTTATGTATGGGTAAGAGTTCGTATTAAGACGACCGTAGGGAGTCTTATCGAACTCTTACCCATATAACTGCAAATCGGCTCTTACAGCTCGATATCAGATAAAAATATAGAAAGTGTCACCTCTTTAATTAAGCATTACATTGTTTTTCCCCAGCAGTCACGTACAAACATGTTTCCTTAAGTCTACAGGTGGATCGGGTCAAATTACCTAACTGTAGCAATGTAATTAAAGTAATTATTTTATTCACATCTTCATAATATCTTGAATTAT